CCTATTAAAATAATGAATTAAATTAAACAATATTAAAGCATTACGTGCTGTCTGCCTCAGTTAGGTGTTTGAACTGGTGGGAACGTGAACCAGCTGCAGATAGAGTTTATTGAGGAGCTAAATCAGCTCTTGATGGCCATGATCTTTCCTGCAGAAGAAAGGAATACATATTTTACTTACGTCTGTCCAGTGCGTTCAGGTCAATAACTGAAAGCTGCAGAGCAGGGTGGATTGGGGTCTTTTCTCATCCAATCTGGGATTAAAAATTCAATGTGGGAGGAGGTTGACTGGGCATGAGCACTCTGAGTGCTTACACATTATTCCTTGTTGCTGCTACTCGTTATCTTGCTCTCGGCAATTTCCTTTATTCAACAAATTCATTACACGATGAAGGCAAAATTAATTGAAATCTTCTATCTGTTATGCTTATTCATTAAGAAATATGAATAGTTGGTTTTTGTTCATGTTCTGTAATTCCAGCTGCAGTCTGGCATGCGTAAATTAAAGATATGCAGTGATAATATTGGCTGGGGTTGGTTTATCTGGGGGGTTGTTTGTAAGTTCTGTGGCTGAAAAGATGTGTGCTAGGGAGGAAGTATTTTTATTACTAGGACTAAAAATAGACTACTTCATTCACTACCTTCCTATTAAAAAAAAAAGATAAATCTGCATACGTTGAGGATGGAAATCGCCTAAAGAAATGTTGCAGATAGAGGAGCTCCTCCTGTGGTGCGGGATGCGTCGGAGGGTGGTTGTTATTTGTGCTGTAACAACCACTGATTAATGAGTCTGCTTCTTTAGGGAAACAGCTTAAAGAGAAAATAACGAGCTAAGTAAGATCGTTCCTGAGGTGGGGGTGTTTCGCACGCCGGTGCAGGTTGCTGGCAGTCGCGGGCAGGCAGCTGCCCAGCCGGCCGTGCAGGCAGCACCTTCACACAGCGGAAGAAAATGAGATGAGGTCCAGGGGGAAAAAATGCTGATTGTCATTTCCCTTGACACTGCGGCGTTCTGGGATAGTTCAAATTGATGATCTCGGAGAAGAATGCCTGGAAGAGAGTGAAAAAGCAATATGACCCCTGAGAAAGGAAGCTGATGCAGGCTTCGAGAGGCCAGTTTTATTTTTTTTAATTCCCATACTGTATCAGTTAATGCCAAGAGTTGCCAAAAAGGTCCTGCTTGCTTATTTCTTTCTTTTTTCTTTTTCTTTTTTTTTTTTTTTTTAGCAATCTTGGATCTCCCATGCTTCACTTGAGGATGCAGGAGATCTTGCCTTTACGTGCTGTAGTCTCGCTGGTGTCCTTACAAAAGTTTCTAAACTCTGTTCATCCATCCATCAGGAGTAAATTCACTTGCTCTTTGGTCACTCACTGATCCAGTGATGTCCATATATATATCCATATATATATATATGTACACATGTATTTGCATATAAACCCAGAACAAGCCAGTGAATTTTAATTAATTTTTATTTCAGTTATATATATCCATGGTTATATATATATATCCTGAGCTGAGCCGTGTGTTTCTAAGGTAGAACGGTGTGGGGTCACGTTCCCTGGAGCTCGTGCCGTGCTCAGAGGGAGGAGGAGGTTTGTTGGCTTGAGGAGAGAGCCATCAGCAAAGCAAGCTGCGCCGAAGTATTTTGCCTCCTAGAAACAGCAAATACATGCTGAGGATCAAATCTGCCCTGTGAGTTCTTTTTAAAATCCTATTCAAATGGAGGTTTAATGTGGAAACATGTTTCCTGATCTAAAGGTGAATAGTTTAACTCTATGGGATAAATATTTAAGAGCAGTGTATCTCTTTCCAGTAAAAACACTCTGGCAGAGACTTCCTTGTGGTAGCAAAATGAGGCTGTTATTCCACGTGCCTTTGACCTGATTCCAAAAAATATTTAAAATAGCGAAATTGGCAGATCCGGCCATGGGAGGCAGCCAGGTGGAAGGCGCAGAGCTGTGAAAGGTGAGGCTGAAGGGAGGGGTGAGGGCTGGGGGGGTGATGGACACCCACCACCCGTTATCTTCTCGCTCTTCTGCAGCTGCCAACATCGCACGCTGTAGCGGGAGTGCCTGGCTTGCAAATGGCCTATAAAATTAATTGCCAGTTAGAATCACCTAATTATCGAGTTCGTGATTATTAATTGAAGGCTCATATGGGTTTGAGGTTGTGCACGGCTTCTCTGCCGCGCTACGACTCCGCCGTGCAGTTGCTAAAGGCTTTGTCAGAGCTGTGTTTGTACGGTGGTCTGTGAGCCCCCCCGCATCCTCTCTTGATCTTTTGGAGTTTGAAGGATGGTTTTCGAGGAGCCTCCTTGGCGCCAAGGAGTACTGAGATAGCCATCGGGGAGCGTAAGCGAAGGGCTGGAGGTGGGTGCAGGAATCCCCCCACACATAAAACCAGCAAAGACCTGACTCTTCACGATTAAGTTGCTGTTACAGCTCAGAATAGCAGTCATTAGTCACTGATTACGAGGGTTTTCATATTCACTGGGTGCCGCGTAGTATTTATTTAAACACCTCTCCCAAGCATCCTGCAAGATGCCATTAGGCAGGTGCTGCTGAGTGATGCAGGGCTGTGATGACTGAACATGTTAGAGCTGGAGCACAATGAAACGCGCTGTGTGGGGCTCACAAGTGTTTCTGCACCTTTTTTGGATGTGTTTGCACGTTGTCATGTGCCAGCACCTAGTATGTTCTTCTGCTTTATCCCTTCTTGCTCCCGTGTAGGCTTCAGCTCAGTTTAGGTTTGTTTCTCTTGGTTAATAAATCTTCACGTTTGCACAAGTTGTATTTTTAGGGTATGGGTATTTTGAAAGTTTCAATAACTGTTTTTCTAAGAACCTCAGTACAGATGTGCATGGCTGGCGCTTTCATGCCTGAATCCCAAATTCACGTGTCAGGGACGTGGGGTTGGGGTGGAAGCATTTTCCCTCAAACCCTCACTGCAGAGGTAAATATTTATCAGGAGACCCTCATCCCACACACCCAAATTCCCTTTCCAACAAGATGAATTTCAGCCAAGCCCCTGTGTCAGGTGTCATCCCGTTGGCTGCCTTTAGACCTGTGGAATTGGGGCTGGAGCAGAGGTTGGGTGTCTGATGGGCTTGTAGACTGAGGAGATGCAACGGAGAAGGACGTTGAGTGCCGTTTCTGTTTTGAGGTGTGGGAGGCTTACGAGATTTTCCGAAGGCTGGGAAGGAGGTGGATTGCTGGGTGTGAATCCCTGACCTCCCAGGCTGTAGGGCCACGGGGAGGTTTGAAAGCAGCACTCATTGGAGGAGTCCCTAAGCCAGGGTCTGGGTGCAGAGGGACAAGAGGTGACTCAGACTGGGCTCCGGTTTTCTCAGTCCTCACTTTTTTTCCAAGGCTCTGTTGCAGCAGCATGTTTATTTCTATTGTAATGGTGTCGCCAGCATCAGCTCTGTGCAGCACGGTGGTTTGAACACTCAGGTGATATGGGGTGGAAATGCCAAGGAAGAAGCAAAGCTCCTCCATGCGTATGTAACGGAAAAAGCTCTGTGACACCTTTCCTTTCGAGGAATAATATCATCAGGAGGTGAAATCAATGCCTGAAGTGGATGTCTAAGCCTCTCCAAGATGTTCAGGACCATCCGTCACTGTGTGGAGCGCTGGTGGGCCCTTGGGTTTGGGCTCTAAGACAGCTGAAGGCTCCCTTCCTTGGCTGCTGGGTGCAGCAGGAGCTTTACTTAGATCAGCTGAATTTCTTCGTGGCCTGTGGGCTTTCTGATGCAGGGACCCATCTTTCCCCATAGGCATCTTCGTCAGCCTTTGCCAAGTGGAGCTTTTACCTTTGGTTGGGGTACCAGGGGCTACCAGCTTTAGTTGATAAGTGTTATTATTCAGGCAGGGAAACTTTAATGGGTCTCCATGTGGTTTCTGGGTTGTTTTTTTTTTTTCCATTTTTAGTTGCTGGAATCAAGTGTGTAATTTTTAATGGGCATCCTCTTAATTAAAACCAGTGGCTGGGTGGGTTGAGTTGGCTGGAGGCCACGGCAGGGCTCTCCTGGGACCTTCTACAGCATCTCCAGTGCTCCAACCACTGTGCCAACACCCCTTCAGCACGAGGGTTGTCATCAGTGGTGGTGATTTTAAGAGATCCATGGTTGTAAGATCAATATTGTCTTTAGCGATGAGCCTCCCAGCCCTGCCTGAATGTTTTATTTAGTTAGTTCTTTGATAAAAGCTTTGACCTACATCCAGCACCAGGAAGTCTTTGATAATACTCAAGCATCCTCGCGGAGGGCATGCTGCTAACTGAGCCTCCAAGTCGAAAATGGATGTGTCCTTTAAAATAAAATCAGCTAAAGGTCTCAGAAAACAGCTTTATCTCTGCCAGGCACTACAGAGTCCAGTTTTGATGGAGAGGATATTCCTCTTTATGAACTGTGGATATTGGGAAAAGTGCTTTCTATTTTTGATCATAGGGAAACAAACCAAAAGCCAAAAAAAAACCCACCAAACCCCAATTTTCAATGATATGAGGGTGTTGGTGATGGAAATGGGCTGGACCACTCAGGGTGCTCAGTGGTGAAACAGTTATCTGGGGTAGTAAAAACGAAAGGTCCTATTTGAGTTGTTCTTCGCTGTATTTTTTTTAGATGTGGTCCATCATCTGGCACTCTCTGTGCAAGGCTATTTTGTGGGCAGCTGTAACAGCTTCATAGGTGTCCTTTCTAAAATGCTTGCTGCCTTTAAAAGCCATGAAGGCGATGCCTGGGAGGAACGAGGCAGGCAGGTTTGCAGCCCCGTCCTCCTGGCAGCCGGCTGTAGCCCAGGAGTCAGGGGGAGGTCAGCAGCAGCAGGGTGAGAATTCGCATCATTGCCCTGACAAATCGATAGTCACGGGGCGATGCTCTGGGACCGCGGCTGCGCTGCGGTGTGGCCCCACATTGATTTACGCCGTGTATCTGGGGGGTTGTGTCTGTGCCATCACCTGTTTGTGTTCTCACGTTGCATTCCTTGTGGGTTTTTTTTCCCCAGGATGAACTTGACCTCACGGACAAGCACAGAGAGGCCATGTTTGCGCTGCCGGCGGAGAAGAAGTGGCAGATCTACTGCAGCAAGAAAAAAGTAAGACACCCATTCATGCTGTGGTTGGGTCTGAGCCCCTTCCCTCCCATGCAGGGTGGGCAGGAGATGTGGGGAGGATGCGATCCTCACTAGGGATGCTGAGTGGTATTTGGGGCATTGCAGAAATGCATCTGTTCCCAGGATGGCCCTGGGGAAGCAAGGGTGACCAGGGAGATCTCCAGTCTCCAAAATGCAGAGCTCTTCCTCCTGAGCCCATTCAGGCTGGAGAAGGTGTCCCCACACCCCACGTGGGTGTCCCCCACCCAGTGCTCATCCCTACCAGCACAAACAGGGCCACGTGTTGCTCTATGACCACGGAGTTCAGCGTTGCAGAGGTGAGGGGCTGCTCTGGTCACCGTCTCCCGTGTCCCTGCTCTTCTCTGCTGGTGTCCAGGGACCTGATTGCAGCCTGCCCAAAAGCCTCCCCCTCCCCTGCCTTTCCAGTTTGTTGCCGAGACACACTGGTCATGGTTTTTGTCCTCCCACCATCTTTTTCTGGAGGAAGCTGGGGAAGCCGTGCCCCGGCAGCACAGCCTGCGAGAGCTTTGTCCCAGCGGTGTGGGGGTTGCTTCTGGGGTGAAGCTGTGTCACCTCTGGGGCAATGAAGGGCTTTAGGTTCATGGGTGGAACTGAGATAGGGCCGATAAGAGATGAGGGTTGATGCGAGTTGCTGATCTGTCTGCTCCCGGCATGACGTGTCTTCTCGGCGTTGCTGCCCTCACAGCCACCTTTCTCAAGCTCAGAACGTACACAGACATCTTCCTGTGCCGAGATACGCTGGCGTCTGAACTCGGTTGCGTCACCCTTTAGATAGAGGTCAAGAATTGAGGTTCATTTGTATTTCTGTCAGTAGATCAACGCCAGGGTGTCCAAAGCCTGTGGTGCCTCTGGCAGGTTCGCAGTTGGGGCTTGCAGTGATGCTGGTGCCAGCTCTCGTGGTCCATCCAGAATGGAGCAGACTGCCTCCTGCCTTTCTCCCTTGGTTTGTCTGCTTTTGCTCCTGGGGGCATGCAGCATGAGTGGAGCGGGGTACCGTGGGCTGGCTGCCTGCTGGCCAAAATCACTATTTTTTTCCCAGTAAACAGAATGTTTTTGCCCCTGTATTTTGGTACAGGAGTTAACCCCAGCTATCTGTGCTGGGACTAATGTTCCTTCCCAGCCTTGGCCAAAGCAGAGATCCTGCAGGACATAACACCATGGGGAGAAATGGGGCAAAAATCCTCAGTCTCACAAGCAGATGGAAGGACACCAAGGCCTGCAAGGGAAATGCCCCCAGCTGGGGACATGGACTTGTTGGAGCAGGTCCAGAGGAGGCCACAAAGATGGTCAGAGGCTGGAGCACCTCCTGTACGAGGACAGGCTGAGAGAGTTGGGGTTGTTCAGCCTGGAGAAGAGAAGGCTCTGGGGAGATGTTATTGCATCCCTCCAGTACCTAAAGGGGACTTACAAGGAAGATGGAGACAGACTTTTTAGTGGGGCCTGATGCGATAAGATAGGGGGTAATAGTTTTAAACTAAAAGAAGCTAGATTCAGACTAGATAAAAGGAAGAAATTTTTTACAATGAGGGTGGTGAAACACTGGTGCAGGTTGCTCAGAGGGGTGGTAGATGCCCCATCCCTGGGAACATTCAAGGCCAAGCTGGATGGGGCTCTGAGCAACCTGGTTTAGTTGAAGATGTCCCTGCTCATTGCAGGGGGGTTGGACTAGAAGGCCTTTAAAGGCCCCTTCCAAGCCAAACCATTCATTGATTCTGTGACTCAGTTCCCAAACTGGCCGCTGTGTCCCCTAACCAGGCTGCAGGAGCTGGCTCGGCAGAGCTGGCGGTCACCTGGCCCCGCTCGAAGGGCACTCACTGCCATTAATGGCTCTTTTCTCCGGCTGTAGCAATGGCACCAGATTTTCTATCTGCATTTTAGGCCAAGAGCAGGCTTACCTTGCTCATGTAGGATTAAGTTTTAAGCCTCTCATAAATACCCCTGAAATCCCTGTATTATTGTTAGACAGAGTCCTGCCATGCCCGAGATTTAAATTGGAGGGGAGAAGAGATGTTAACAAATTACAGGCACTGGTCTGAATCAACAGGAAAGTGGGCAGGGGATGCTCGCTCATCACTGCCTGACGGATAAGCAGAGCCGTGCTCCGGTGCGTCTGGATAAGGGGAGACAACAGAGACTTAAATCAAGCAAAGCCATGTAATTATTATTGTGAGTGGAGATTATGCACTATCTAATCTCCCCAGGAAGGGTTTAGATGGGGCTGATGGTGCCTCTTTCCCATTCCAGCATGTCCTTGCTCTCAACAGGTTTTTAAAAACCTTGCTGAGAATCTCCCTGCTCCCGAGGGATGGTGAGGGAAGGAGCCACAGAAGCGCCCTGTGGCATCCTCAGAGGTCCTCGGAGCAGGCACCTCTCTGAGGTGGGATCCTGGCTGCTGTTCTGCTCTGGTTCTCACTGCTCTGGCTGCCCTCAGCCGCTCCCTCCCTACTCCTGGTGCCGTCTCGGTGAGCTGCAGAGCATCCGTGCCACTGCTTGCTCTGAAGGAGATGTGCTGGTGGAGACGAATGCTTTTCTCCTGCTTTTTAATTAAAAAATGAACTAGACCGTATCAACGGAGGCTCCAGCAGTGGAGGAAACCGGGAACCACGTGGGCTGGAGAATATCTGTATGCATGGCAGGCTCTCGGCAGTCCTCCTGCTATGTGATGAGCACTGCCTGGCTTACCAAGGGTCCCAAATTGTCCCCTGAACAGTTTTTGCTCTTTCCTCTGCTGCCAATTTTGGCTCCTGTTGGAAACAGACTGTTAAGAGTCAGGTGACTGCAGTTGGACTTTGAGTCTAAAAGCCCCAGTTTGGGGCATTCCTAATTTTTAGCGTTCTCCCCATTTTCCTGCTGGTTGCAGTGCTCCCTGCTGCAGTCGCAGAGACTGGTTGCAATGAGCTCTGCCTCGAAAGAGCAGCATGGGGCAGGACAGAAACGTTGCACAGCCTGCTCCTGGGGGTTTTCCTCAAACATCAGCTTTGCTGCGCTCCAAAACATGTCACACTGTGGCTGTACCCAACACAGCCAGGGCACTCCCCTGCCTCCATCGATGGCAAAGGTGCGTGTAGCACAGAAAGCATCTGAATGTCTGTCCTTCCAGCACGTTCCCTGCTGCCATGTACCGTGTCTGGTGCTTCTGCTTTGCCATCGGTGTCACCCATTCGGCTCTCCAGAGCGTATCCCAATTGTTGCATGTTTTATATATTCCCATGATGGGCAAGATGTGGTAAAAAGTGACAAAAATGAGACATTTTGTTGTGCTGGCTTGTCCTGGAAAGGGACCTGGCAGAACCTGGCCTTGGCAGTGCTCATTGAGAGGAAATAAGTGAAAACCAGCTATTCCCCAGGCATATTTCCTTCCCTGGAACATTTCCCCCTGGCCTGCAGCTCCATATCATCCTGGTTTCTCTGCCCTGGTTTTATCCCAGCCCACAGTACCGGCTTGGCAGGGCGGAGGTTTTGTCCCCCCTGATTCTCCATCTGTGGAGATGCTGGGTCTGATCCCTGCTCGGAGGAGGGGGATGCACTGGATGAACTCCCCATGGTTCCACCCCACCTGCATCACCCTGGGATGCTCTGGGCGGTCGGAGAGATAAAAAGCATCTCGTGATGGGGGCTGGCAAGTCTGCCAGCAGTGACCCAAGTCAGAGCTGAAATCTGCATTAAATCCAGCAGCCATGCAGCGCTCAGGTCAGGAGAGAGATTGAAAGATTATTGGAGAGACCTTCTTTGAAGTCGTCTGCCCCCTCTACAGCTGTAATAAAGCAGGGAAACGCAAAGGTGGAGATGCATTAACAGCAGGATGAAATCTGCTTTTAGAAGTGTGTATTTATGGATGATGACTCGTTTCATACCTCATCCCGAAATATTTCACTCCCTGCTGGCCCCGCTCTCCAGGAGAGGATATTGCTCGGAAGCGCGGGGAGGAAGCAGGAGGGTTTCCAGCTTTACGGTCTCTTTGGCTGCAGGTTTAATTCAGTGGAAGAGGGTGACTCAGGATGGCCTTTCTCGGGCGGGCACGCTCCAAAGGGAGTTAATAATTAACACTTCACTCTTAGTCTGCAGCACCTCTTAATTGCAGGAGGTTTGGCTCCTGCCAGCCGATGGACGTAATGTCAAGCTGTTAAAGCAGCTCGCCGGGTGATTTTTACGAGCCAAACCGTGGGTGCGTAGAGGGGTGTTCAGGCAGAGCTTGGCATAAATAACCAGGGGGAAGGGATCAGCAGCGCAAACCAGCTCACACGAACGCAGGGTCTGGCTCTGCCCCCCTCCCTTTCGATTCCCTGGAGCTCTCTGAGCGTCTGGAACAGCAGGGGAGGGGGAAAAATGACCTGCAGGGATGCCAAGTGTTGCTGCGCTCTTTAAGCTCGTGTTGAAAACCCTTCGGCGTCGCTAACGCCGGGTGCGTAGCTCTCAGCAGTGTTAAGCTGTCCCTAGCAAGCAAAACTTACATCTAAAATTCCCTCAGACGTTAGGTATAAACCCAGGATCCCTTCACATTAGGAGAAAGCAGCGATGGTGCCTTTGCAGGAGAGAATGAGGAAAAATGTGATAAATAGAGAAATGAGTGATGGTTCTCCAGTAATGCTATTTTTTCCCAGCAAGTCAGCCTCTTTCCCCTCTAACCGCTCCCTCCAGAGAGCTTCGCTTTCCAGCTCGCTCTTCCACTTGGGGCTCTGTCCTGCGGCTTCTTCACAGGGCTTGTGTTGCCATCTATTCCCTTCATTTAAAAAACATATTTTTTTTTTTTTTCTGCAGTAGCAGAACTAAGAGCAAAACCTGATGCAGATGGCATTGCAAGGGGAAGAGGAAGAGAATAGCTCAGCATTTTGCCATGCTCCTGGGTCGCCTGGAATGCATGAGAAGCGTTTCATGGCCCCTGAGCACCCAGATATACCTGGGGTTATGGCAGCAGCAGGTTGAAATATCATCTCAGGTGTCATTTTCTCATGCTGACCGAG